GCTGGCTTTCTATTTTTCATGTTGCCATATAGGTCGTCAGTATAAAGGCAAGTGGTATTGCAATAAAGCTTACGCTGGAGGGCATCAATCAAATTGGATATCCCCAGACTTGGTTTTTCTTTTCAGTTGCAATAATCTGTGTGATTGCACAGGTAAATTATCTCAACAAGGTAGTCTTATTTTTATTAAGATTCATGGTACATTTTTGGTGTTTTCAGGTGTTGGATTAGGAAAATGTTTGCCCTTCTATTCTCTGCCTTTCACCAAAATATTTACCATATTATGTGCATATTGTGCTTTTATATGTTAGTATACAGGTTTCAGAAATAAATCTATTCATTGTTGGAGCATGAATGATGTCCTTGATTTTCTGTGAAATGAGTTTGGTGCAGTGCCCACCTGGTATAGTTGCTAATGCACTATCACTGGGATGTGCTGTAGACTATAAGTTTGATAGATGTGCAAAGGTGTTTATATTAATAAGGGGTGATTGGGAGGAAGGGGAGGCAGGTTGATTTTACACCCAGAGGTTGAGGTTGCTTGTTCTGCTCTTTGGTTGGAGAAGCTGAAAACAATTTCTGGGGTGAGTTAATGGCCAAATGGTTCAGCTTTTCTGTGCCCTGTTTCTCAGCATGGGTTGTGCTCTGAGTACTTTGCAGTACATCTTTGGATATTTATTAGACGATTCTAGGAATACATATAAACATACATGGAAATCGGAAGGTTCCTTTAGAAAGAGCTAGATTTTTTTATTGTATTTTTTGAAACATTGATAATTTCAAAATTTTTTCCTAAAAATAAAGATCCTATCTAATGGTTTCATGATAAGATCTTGTGTCTTTGACTCTTTGAAGCCGTGTGTTGTGCCACCAGTGACGTTGGTTGTTGGGAGTTGGTATAAGTTGTGGGTTTTTTAGTTGGCTGTAGTGGGAGAAAAACACCAAGTAGTTCCATACCTTTCTCACTGCCATTAGCATGAGTAAGTAACATTTTCATTTCCAATGTGTGCGGGCAATGGAGTCTCTCACTTTATGTTCCATATGCTTATATTATGCCATGATTTGTTGTTCAATACCTTTCTTACTGCCATTAGCATGCCACTGTGCAGAGAAAAGGGTATGCTTATCTAGCATTTATGTCTCTATTCCTCCTATCATGTTAGGTTAAAAACTTTCTTCTTCATGCGAGTTTTCCTCCAATGACCATCACGTTCCATTTGCATTGCAGTAATCTAGATTAAAAATGAGTATTTAATTCGGATCACAATCACCACATTTGGGTACTTAATTGAGTATGAGTCATCGTTGGGCATTTGATTACTACAGGTCTCAAGAATGATGGACATCTCAATGGATTTTGCTGTGTACATAGCAAAATCCATGGGGGTGTCCATAATGGACAAATGACAC